CCTGGCCTAGTAGTCCATCTTAAGAAACTAGAAAAAGAAGATAAATCTAAAACATATTTATCAACTCCTTTATGCCCAGTCCTGTTTTGGATCTAGCCACAGCTAGCAGAAGAAAGGAGAATTAAAGATTAGAGCAGAGATAAAACAGAGAATAAAGAAACTACAGAGAGAATCAATGAGACCAAATGCTGGGTCCTTGAAAAGACCAACAAAATTGACAAACCTTTAGCTAGATTGGCCTAGAAAAGAAGATTCAGATTACTAAAATCAGAAATGAAAGTGAGGACATTACTACCAACCTTGCAGAAATAAAAGAGATTATAAGAGAACACTATGAGCAATTGCATGCCAACAAACTAGATAACTTAGTTGAAATGGACATATTTCTAAAGAGACACAAGCTACCAGAACTGACCTAAGAAGAAATACAATACCTGAATAGATCTACAAGTAAAGAAATTTACCTACTAATAAAAAAAAAAAAAATCCTCTCAAGAAAAGCTCAGAAACAGATGACTTCACTGGTGAATTATTCCAAACGTTTATAGAAGGATTAACACCAATTATTCCCAAACACTTTCCAGAGAAAATAGAAGGGAGCAATTTCTAACACATCTATAAGCCAGTATTATCCTGATAACAAAACTGTATACCACTATCCCTTAGGAGTATAGATGCAAAAATCCTTAACAAAATACTAGCAAACCAAATCCAGCAGTGTATAAAAAGGATTATATGTCATAGCAAAGTGGGATTTATTCCAGAAATTCAAGGTTGATCAAACATACAAATATCAATCAATGTAATACACCATATTAATAGAATAAAGGATAAAAATATTCTAATCAAAATATCATCTCAAGAGATGCAGAAAAAGCTCTTGACAGAATCCAACAACCTTTATGATAAAAACATTTAAACTAGGAATAGAAGGGAATTTCTGTAACTTGATAAAGGGCATCTTTGAAAAACACATAGAGAAGCAAATGGTAGACATCATACTTAATTTAAGATCAAAGACGGAGAGCCTTCTCCCTAAGAACAGGAATGAATTTGGACCTCTGCCTTACATTAGTTATAAAAAAAATTAACCACATACAAAAACATTTAAATGTAATAGCTAAAAATATAAAACTTTTAGAAGGATACATAGTGGTAAATCTGCATGAGCTTGGATTAGGCAACCATTTCTTAGATGTGACATCAAAAGCATAAAGAACTAAAGAAAAACAGATTAGGGCCGGGCAGGGTGGCTCATATCTGTAATCCCAGCACTTTGGGAGGCCGAGGTGAGAGGATCACCTGAAGAGTTCACGGGAGTTCAAGACCAGCCTGACCAACATGGAGAAAACCGTCTCTACTAAAAATACAAAATTAGCTGGTGTGACAGTGCATGCTGGTAATCCCTGCTACTCGGTAGGCTGAGGCAGGAGAATCGCTTGAACTGGGGAGGCAGAAGTTGCAGTGAGCCGAGATTGTACCACTGCACTCCAGCCTGGACAAGAGCAAAACTCCATCTCGAAAAAAAAAAAAAAAAAGCCAGGTGCGGTGGCTCAAGCCTGTAATCCCAGCACTTTGGGAGGCCGAGGCGGGTGGATCATGAGGTCAAGAGATCGAGACCATCCTGGTCAACATATTGAAACCCTGTCTCTACTAAAAATACAAAAAAATTAGCTAGGCATGGTGGCGTGTGCCTGTAATTCCAGCTACTCAGGAGGCTGAGGCAGGAGAATTGCCTGAACCCAGGAGGCAGAGGTTGCAGTGAGCCGAGATCACGCCATTGCACTCCAGCCTGGGTAACAAGAGTGAAACTCCATCCCCCCAAAAAATAAAATAATATAAAAAGAAGAGAAACAGATTGGTTGGACATGGTCAAAATTAAAAACTTTTGTGTATCAGCGAACACTATCAAAGTGAAAAGACAGCGCATTCAATGGAAGAAAACACTTGCAAATAATATATATGATAGGTTCTAGTATCCAGAGTATGTGAAGAACTCTTAAAACTCAACAACAAAAAGACAAAGGCCCCGTTTTTGTTTTGTTTTGTTTTGTTTTTTTTTAAAAAGGCCTGGGGAACTGGATGCAATGGCTGACTCCAATAATCTCATACTTTGAGAGGTTGAGGCAGGAGGATTGCTTGAGGCCAAGAGTTTGCTACCAGCCTGGGCCTCATAGCAATACTCTATTTCTACAAAAAGATTAAAATAATTTTTTTTTTAATTAGCAAAAGATTTAAATATTTGTTCAAAGAAGATATACAAATGGCCAACAAGCACATGAAAAGATGCTCAACGTTACTAGTCATTAGGGAAATGTAAATCAAAACCAAAATAATATACTGCTTCTACTAGGATGGCTATAATTAAAGGATAGAAAAAGAAAAAAATAAGCATTAGTGAGGATGTGGAGAAGGTGGAACCCTCATACATTGTTGGTGGAAGTGAAGACTGGTCTGGCTACCATAGAAAGCAGTTTGGCAGCTCCTCAAAAAGTTAAATACAGAGTTACTATATGACTCAGAAATTCCATTCTTAAGTATATACCTAAGAAATTGAAAACATATGTTCATACATAAATATTCATAGCAGCATTATCATCCATAACAGCAAAAAAGTGGAAACAACCCAAATGTCTACCAACTGATGAATGGATAAACAAAATGTAGTGTATCCATGCAGTGGAATATTATTCAGTCATTAAAAGGAATTAAATATTTATAAATGCTACAACATGGTGAAAACGTTAAGGAAAAGAAGCGAGACATTAAAGGCCATATATTGTTGGTTTCTGTTTACATGCAATGTCCAGGATAGGCAAATTTAGAAAGACAGAAAGTAGATTGGTGGTTGCTGGGCATCAATGTGAGGAGGGGAAAATGGAAATGGTGGTTGACCAGTATAGAGTTTTTTTGTTTGTTTGTTTTTGTAAATGGTGATGAAAATGTCCTGGAATTAGGGCGATAGCTATGCAACCTTGTGAATATACTAACAAAGACTAAATTCTATACTTTTAAATTTTATGACATGTTAATTATAATTAAAAATGTAAAAACAAATTATTGGATGAAGTGTCAGAATTTGGTAATAGATTTGAGCATCATTTGTAGAAGCATTTATTTAGAGATTTGACTAGATACTCTGTAGAAGTGCAGTTCAATAGAATTCTGCAGTGATGCAAATGTTCTATATCTGCGCTGTCTAATTGAGTGTTTAAAAATAAATATGCATGTGTAATAGAAAATCTGTGATGTAAACCAAACTGTCACAGTACTTTTTGCTGGAGGGTTGAAAAACACTGGCTTTGGAATACAGGCTTAGAGCAACTCCTTCATCTCTCCACACCAATGCTTCCTTACCTTTAAAAAAGAAATAACAGATTTTGTTTTGTTTTCAAAGAGTTCAATAGTTACATGCAAGACCACCTGCTGTACCACTAGAGCTGGGGGATATTCACAGTGCTTCTATGCAAATGGTCCCTCTGGAGCACAGAAGACAATGCTAGTGGTACTCTTTGAAGCACCGCAACATGGTTATAGGAACACATGTTGTAAAAGGTCTTCTAAAACCTCATCAATGCCAATGTAATCCCAACACTTTGAGAGGCCTAGATGGGAGGACGGCTTGAGGCCAGGAGTTTGAGACCATCCTGCATGAGAGCCTGTCTTTACAAAAAAATTAAAAATTAATCGAGTGTGGAGTTTCATGCTTTGGGAGGCTGAGGTGGGAGGGAGGATCACTTGAACCCAGAAGTTCCAGCCTGGGCAACAGAGCAAGATTGTCTCAGGAAAAAAAAAAAAAGGGTGAATTCCTTTCCTTTCCTTTCCTTAAGAGGAAGACTCTAAACCCGTAGGCTTCAGTGTTTAGACATCTTGAAAATAACCTTAAAGCAATGTAGAGTTGGCCGGGCATAGTGGCTCATACCTGTAATTCCAGCACTTTGAGAGGCTGAGGTGAGCGGATCATTTGAAGTCAGATCTCTACCAAAAATATAAAAATTAGCCGGGTATGGTGGCATGTGCCTGTAATCCCAGCTGCTCAGGAGGCTGAGGCAGGAGAATTGCTTGAATCCGGGAGGCAGAGGTTGTAGTGAGCCAAGATTGTACCCCCACGCCACTGCACTCCGTCTGGGTGACAGATGTTGTACTGGAGCGAGCTGGGCCTCCAAAATGTTGTAGTGGAGCAAGCATAGAAAGTCAACACTAAGACGAAAGTATGCCAAATTGCAGGGTCTTTATTGCCGGTGGCCACGGAGGACTCGAGTCTCTCCAACCCGTGGCCCCAAAAGGAGGGTGTTAAGACCTTTTATACTGGTACAACCACCTCAGGAGTGAGGTTGAGGGGCAGGGGTGGGGGTGAGGGGCTTCAGACATTCTGAGGGGTAGTAAATTCTGTATATTACCTCCTGTGCGGAGATGAGGGTGAGGGGCTCTGGACATTCCGAGGGTCAGGGGACTTTTGACATTCTGATTGTTACTTAAGCGGTTCACAAAAGTTAAGCATTTGTGTGCACATTGTCTGGGTAGGGTGGAAATTACAAGTCACAGGGGCCAAAATCGCGTGGGTTTGGACTGCTTGCCTGTCACATTTGGGTTACAGAGAACAGTTTAAACAGAAAGCCGAGGTATGGTTGAGGTATGCAGGTTTATGGGGCTTTTTGCCATGTCACACAGAGTGAGACTTTGCCTCAAAAAAAAAGTAGAGTTAAAGTTGCCTTTGTTGTTATCAGTTAAGCTGAATAGCCACAACATCCCTATATGACTTCGGAATGTGAATGTGTGCCTGCAGAAACTACATACTCCCCAGTCCCAATGCAGTTTTTATACTATCAAATAACCACATGAAAGGAAAGAGATTTGAGTCTCAGAAATGGCTTTGAGCTCCCTGTCTGGTTTGTGTTTGCTGACTTTTGTGGTGTCTAGGGATAGGCCAGTAGGAGGGCTAATGGAATCTTAAGTCATGCCAAATATAAAGATCATGAAGTCTATGTTTCTGTTGTCAGTGGGGTGGTACATCAGAAAGCTGACTGGGACAGCATCCATGAGAAGATATGTCAGCTCTTGATTCCACTGCGCACTTCCATGCCCTTCTACAATTCAGAGGAAGAACGGCAGCATGGCCTGCAGCAGCTGCAGCAGCGGCAGGTAGGGCCTATGGCACTTTCCATGGTTAAATCATAGGTGCAGTGAAGCTGCTCAAGACAAGGGTTGAACTGTGTTGAGATCACTAAATTGTAACCTCACTGAGGGCAGAAACTTTGTTTTATATCTTTAAGTCCTCATTACCATTCAGTCAGTTGTTTTCCACATTTACTAAATACTCTCTGTATTAGTCTGCTATTTACACATTTACTAAATACTCTCTGCATTAGTTTGATATTTCCTGTCACAACCAAATATCACAAACTGGGTGGCTCAAACAACATTTATTTATTTTCTCACAGCTCTGGAGGCTGGGAATTCCAAGATCAAGCGATCAGCAGGTTTTGTTTCTTCTTGAGCCGTCTCTTCCTGGCTTGCAGATGGATGCCTTCCTGCCGGGTCTTCACATGGTCCTCTGTGTGCGAGCATCCCTGTATCTCTTTCTGTGTCCAATTTCCTCTTTTTATAAAGACACAAGTCAGATTAGGTTAGGGCCCATCTAATGGCCTCATTCTAACTCAATCACTTCCCAACAGGCCCTTGCTCCAATTATAGTTATATTGTGAAAAACACAGGTTAGGGCTTCAACACATGAATTTTGGTGAGGGATACAGTTCAGCTTGTAACATCCACAGAAGCCAAGAGCCTGGCCACATAATAGGAGGGTTAAGAATGATATATGGATATACTGCCAAATAAACAAAAGGAGTTAGCAAAACTTACCACTATTATTATATATAATGTTGAGTATTATTGAGGATTGAACATTTCAGTCACTGTAAAATTAGCCTCTTATTATAAGCCATAAATCTCTACACATAAGATCCATTCATTTTAGTGTTAGGACACTTGGACAGTGGCCTCAGAACAATGTAGAGTTAACGGTTTTTTGTGATATTCACTAAACAGATTAATTACAGAAGGGAAAATGAGATGTTTCTCTCAAAATTAACTAGGAAGGCAGAAGGTTTCAGATTGTCCTGAGACATGCTAGCTTTGCTCAAGTTTTATTAGAACTATAAGAATAATACTCATTTATTCATCTGATAACTCTATATTGAGCATTCATCTATGTCAAACACAGAACTAAGACGTAAAGATACATGTTTCTGGACCTTAAGGAACACATAACCCAGAGTTTGCCTTCTTATATCACCTATGTGGAACCTCACATCTACTCTAATACAGACAGGCTCACTATGTGCCTTTAACTGGGTCATTAGGTATTGGCCTTATCCCCAGGGACAACTACATCCACCTTTGCCTTTAACTGCAGACCGTCTCAGATAGTCTATTTCTCTCTCCCACAGAAGTATTTGATTGAATTCTGCTACACTGTAGCCCAGAAATACCTCTTTGAAGGGAAACATGAAGATGCCGTACCAGCAGCTTTGCATTCCCTGCGCTTCCGTGTGAACCTGTACGGCCTGAGCTCCGTAGAGCTTGTGCCTGCTTACCTGCTGTTGGCAGAGGCCAGCCTTGGTGAGTGAAACCAACCTGAGATCCCTGGACCCCTTAAGTAGTGCTCCGTTTGGGTCACACCAGTGATCAAAGAGTCACCATTGAAAGTGGCACCAAGACACTTATTTTAGAATAGCAGGGTTGCTGTAAAGTTTAGCACAAGGTGGAGAAGGAGATGGCACAGATTTTTGTCTGCAACTGGCAGAAATCCACTCAAGCTGGCCTGCACAAAAAGGAGAAACTTTTTTTTATATGTATTTTATTGCACTTTAGGTTCTGGGGTACATGTGAATAACATGCAGGATTGTTGCATAGGTACATACATGGCAATGTGGTTTGCTGCCTCCATCCCCATCACCCATATCTGGCATTTTCCCCCATGCTATCCCTCCCCAACTCCCTACCACCCGCTTTACCTCCCCTGGTTCCCCCCCAACAGACCCCAGTGTGTGATGCTCCCCTCCCTGTGTCCATGTGTTCTCATTGTTCAACACACACCTATGAGTGAGAACATGTGGTGTTTGATTTTCTGTTCTTGTGTCAGTTTGCTGAGAATGCTGGTTTCCAGATTAATCCATATCCATACAAAGGACACGAACTCATCATTTCTTATGGCTGCATCGTATTCCATGGTATATATGTGCCACATTTTCCCTGTCCAGTCTATCATCAATGGGCATTTTGGTTGGTTACAGGTCTTTGCTATTGTAAATAGTGCTGCAATGAACATGTGTGTGCATGTGTCTTTATAATAAAAGAATTTATAATCCTTTGGATATATACCCAGTAATGGGATTGCTGGGTCAAACGGAATTTCTATTTCTAGGTCCTTGAGCAATCGCTACACTGTCTTCCACAATGGTTGAACTAATTTACACTCCCACCAACAGTGTAAAAGTGTTCCTATTTCTCCACATCCTCTCCAGCATCTGTTGTCTTCAGATTTTTTAATGATCACCATTCTAACTGACCTGAGATGGTATCTTAATGTGGTTTTGATTTGCATTTCTCTAATGACTAGTGATGATGAGCATTTTTTCATATGTTTGTTGGCCTCATATATATCTTCTTTTGAAAAGTGTCTGTTCATATCCTTTGCCCACTTTTGAATGAGCTTGTTTGTTTTTTTCTTGTAAATCTGTTTTAGTTCTTTATAGATTCTGGATATTAGCCCTTTGTCAGATGGGTAGATTGTAAAAATTTCTTCCCATTCTGTTGGTGGCCGATTCACTCTAATGATTGTTTCTTTTGCTGTGCAGAAACTCTGGAGTTTAATTAGAACCCATTTGTCTATTTTGGCTTTTGTTGCCAATGCTTTTGGTGTTTTAGTCATGAAGTCCTTGCCTATGCCTATGTCCTGAATGGTTTTGCCTAGGCTTTCTTCTAGGGTTTTTATGGTGTTAGGTCTTATGTTTAAGTCTTTAACCCATCTGGAATTAATTTTAGTGTAAGGTGTCAGGAAGGGGTCCAGTTTCTGTTTTCTGCACATGGCTAGCCAGTTTTCTCAACACCATTTATTAAACAGGGAATCCTTTCCCCATTGCTTGTTTTTATATGGTTTGTCAAAGATCAGATGGTTGTAGATGTGTGGCATTGCCTCCGAGGTCTCTGTTCTGTTCCATTGGTCTATATCTCTGTTTTGGTACCAGTACCATGCTGTTTTGGTTACTGTAGCCTTGTAGTATAGTTTGAAGTCAGATAGTATGATGCCTCTAGCCTTGTTCTTTTTGCTTAGAATTGACTTGGCTATGCGGGCTCTCTTTTGCTTCTATATGAAGTTTAAGGTGGTTTTTTCCAGTTCTGTGAAGAGGGTCACAGGCAGCTTGATGGGGGATAGTGTTGAATCTATAAGTTACTTTGGACAGTATGGCCATTTACACAATATTGATTCTTCCTAACCATGAGCATGGAATGTTTTTCCATCTATTTGTGTCCTCTCTTATTTCCTTGAGCAGTGGTTTGTAGTTCTCCTTGAAGGGGTTCTTTACATCCTTTGTTAGTTGTATTCCTAGGTATTTTATTCTCTTTGTAGCAATTGTGAATGGCAGTTCGTTCTTGATTTGGCTCCCTTTAAGTCTGTTATTGGTATATAGGAATGCTTGTAATTTCTGCACATAGATTTTGTATCCTGAGACTTTGCTGAAGTTGCTTATCAGTTTCAGGAGATTTTGGGCTGAGACAATGGGGTCTTCTAAATATACAATAATGTCATCTGCAAATAGAGACAATTTGACTTCCAAAGAGGAGGAACTTTATGAGGGTGCTGTAGTATCCTATGGGAGCTGAGGCTTCATGAGGGACTAGAATTAGAATGCTGTAAGGCACCAAGGCAGGCCCCTTTCTTTCTCTCTTGGGCCTTGTCTCCTGCCTCTGCTTCTCTCTGGGTATCTGCTTCATTATTTTCCCTTTCTGCAGACCAGACTTGTCTACCCGGTGCTCACTGTAGAAGACAGCTAGCCCAAAATGTCAGATGGACTTTTTCAACTTACATGTTTTATATTTTGTGATAGGCAGTAGAAATGATTAGCTTCTGATTTCCAATTTTGTTGACATGGCTTGCGTGTGGGATCCACCCATATTCCCTGGGATCAGGGTCACATCGTTCAGAAATACAGGAACCCACCCCTATCGACGGGAGAGGCAATTCTGAGAGTATGGAGCAGACTTAGCAGATACCCTAGTGGTGGCTACTGTAAAAGGAAAATTAGCGTTTTGAGAGGAATTGATATTCTTGAGCATCTATGGTATTTTAGGCACTGTGCTACCACTTCATACATCTTAATAGCCACCATTAAAAAAAAAAAAAACTTCATATATTTTGATAGCCACCATTTTTAAAAATACCTTTTTTTTTTTTTTTTTTGAGATGGAATCTCGTTCTGTAGCCCAGGCTGGAGTGCAGTGGTGCAATCTTGGCTCACTGCAACCTCCGCCTCCCAGGTTCAAGCAATTCTCCTGCCTCAGCCTCCCAAGTAGCTGGGACTACAGGCATGCGCCACCACACCCAGCTAATTTTCATATCTTTAGTAGAGACGGGATTTCATCATATTGGTCAGGCTGATGTTGAACTCCTGACCTTGTGATCCACCTGCCTTGACCTCCTGAAGTACTGGGATTACAGGTGTGAGCTACTGCGCCTGGCTCAAAAAATGCTTTTTTAAAAGAAAAACTGTTTTTTAAAAGTAAAACTGTTGGCCGGGCATGGTGGCTCATGCCTGTAAACTTTGGGAGGCTGAGACAGGTGGATTACCTGAGGTTAGCAGTTTGAGACCAGGCTGACTAACATGGCAAAACCTCATCTCTACTTAAAATACAAAAATTAGCTGGGTGTGGTGGTAGGTACCTGTAATCCCAACTACTTGGGAGGCTGAGGCAGGAGATCCCTTGAACCAGGGAGGCAGAGCTTGCAGTGAGCTGACATTGCACCATTCCACTCCAGCCTAGGCGACAGAGCGAGATTCCAGCTTGAAAAAAAAGAAGTACAACTGTTAAATTAAGTACGATATAAAGAACCTTTATCACTTGAGCCCTCTGTCCTCTGAGGGTAAGTTGCTTACTTGGTTTCCTATCTTTAGAATACTTCAGTGTGTGGTTCCCACAAATACTTTCATAGCCACAATACAACCTCATCTACTAAGGGGCCCCATTGAGAAGAAGGATCCCCTTAGTAGATGAGACAGATTGTATTGTGGTTATGAAGGAGAATGTCTTCGTGGGAATCACACAAGAGGACCCTATCATCTAAGAAGAGCCCATTCAAGTTTCTTGAATTTTCCCAATAACATCTTTATAGCAAAAGGATACAGTTCAGGATCACACTTTTCATTTTGTTGCCGTGTGTTGGCAACAAAACTCTGGAATAGTTTCTCAGCCTTCTCTTGACTTTTATGACCTTGACACGTTTAAAGGTTACAGGTCAATTATTGTATAAAACATCTTTCAATTTGGGTTTGTCTGATATTTCCTAATGACAAGACTCAGGTTATGCATTTTTGGCAAAAACAGTACAGAGGTGATGCTGTGTTTTCATCCCACCCTATAAATTGGCATGTTTTCATTTTTTTCCATTACTGATGATGTTCATTTTAGTTATGTTATTAGGATGGTGTCTGCCAGGCTTCCTCCCTATAATGTTACTCTTTCCCCCTTCTGTAATTAATAACTTGAATTTTCATTTCATAGGGAGGTCCTCTGAAACCATATAAATATCCCATTCCTCATCAAATTTTCAATGTATTCATTTAATTATTTACATCAATATTGACTCTTGGTTTCCTATTTTGTTCAATGGGCTTAAATCCATTACTATCATTAATCTGATGCTCAAACTGTCCCTGATTTGACTAGGGGCAGCCCCCACTCAAGCTAGTTTCTGTATCTCCTAGACACAACCCCATTTGTTCTTTGATTACTTTCTTGCTTTCTGGAACATACCTCTAAGGATCCCTGATTTCTTTAAGTGGAAAGTAAAATTCAGAAGCCAAGAGCCAAGCACTAGATGTACTCATGCCATTGGGGTCTTACTGCTCCCAGGCCTTCTCAGTGGACAGAGTTAGGGAGTAAGTATAAATACAGTAATGGGTGTATATAGACACACATTACATCTGTATTTATTTATCTATCTATATATCTTTTTTTTTTTTGAAACCAAGTCTCACTCTATCACCTAGACTAGAGCACAGTGGCACAATCTGAGCTCACTGCAGCCCCTACTTTCTGGGTTCAAGCAATTCTTCTGCCTCAGCCTCCCAAGTAGTTGGGACTACAGGCGTGCACCACTACACCTGGCCAATTTTTGTATTTGTAGTAGATACAGGGTTTCACCATGTTGGCCAGGCTGATCTCAACTCCTGGCCTCAAGTGATCCACCCACCTCAGCCTCCCAAAGTGCTGGGATTACAGGTGTTAGCCACCCTGCCCAGCCTTTATCTATATATCTACATCAATAGCTGTATTACCACAAGTCTAGACTGTTTCATCCAGCTCTAATACAGCACCACAGGGTCCAATCTGATTTGCTT